CCTGTAAATCTTATTTAGGAATAGGTTTTGATCTTTTTATAAACATGAAATATCTCAATGGTGTTTTAATTATGGGGAAATTTTGCACGAGCATTAATTTAATAGCACTTCCAAGTGTTATGAAGTAAAGGTGTAAAGGGAAAACACTATTAACCATCAATTACTGGTTGGCTTATTATACCTCTGTAAAGGCATTTTGTTTTATTTCACATAATATCAATGGAATAGTCTAATTGACCACTTAAAAGAAATTAACTTTAACAATTGATGAGATCTAGTTTTTGGCTTTTGCAGCTGTTACTATTGTGAGGTTACAACACACCTTTAAATGTAGTAACTGGACTGATTTATACATAATTATAAATGTCAAATTTGTTACATGATGAAGAAATGCTATTTAGTATAAATTATTGGCATCAATGAAAGGTGAATGATTCTAAATATTTTTAATGTAACTATGTGCCTTGAGTAAATATAAAAAAATATTCAAAAAAGAAATCATTCAATATTTAAATATTTTTTTACATAGTCGACAAATCGTTTATCCTTAATCACACTAATTTATGCTCTGAAAGAACAAATTACTGGTAATTTAAATTTAAAACCTGGGAATATTGCTAATACTGTAGTGTTTTAGTACAAGTGAGTTAGTTATATAATGTACTATGAACATGAATAGATGAATTTAATGATGCATTTCATTCGTTTTATTATGAAAATAAAGTTGCATTCTTCTCTGTCTCTCTCTTTCTCTCACCTCTGTATTATCATTTAATATTGATTGATTATTTAAGGTCAATGTCCAATCAATTTATGAAAAATGTTCTTTCTTAAAAAAATCTGGATAATGATGCTACTGTGGCAGTGTTTCAAAAAGTTTGTCATCACTGCCATAAAGATGTTCGTGTTCTGTGTTATATCAAAATGTAAAGTTAATATGAAAATTGAACAGAATATGTAAATCATCTTATTTTGAGAGTTGTTAAAAAATATTAATGGCAATCTATCCTCGATTCAGAACTTTTGAAATACAGTATATACATAATTCACTGGTCTGAATACTATTGGATTTTTCAACCTGGTAGATCAACTAGAGAATTTTGGGTGTGCTAGTAACTAATGCTAAAATTTTCTTAAGCAGATAAATATGCTGATTCTTTAAACTTCTTGACACTAATATTTATCTTGGCTCCGTTAAAGAAATTTTGCATACTATTCTTGCAAAATAAAAGTTTAACATTTGTTTTGTCTTTATTTTAAATATGGACATTTTACAATACAGTTTATTATTATTTTTATTATCCCAACTATAAGCGATTATGTATCAGGGTTGTTTGATTACTCATATACTTTAACCCATGTATTGCACACCCTTTTAATGTGACAACCCTGTGGTATGCATAAATAAATTATTCCCTCCCAACCCCTCTAATTTTTTTTATACTAAAATCCCTTTCCTCACCATGAAAAAAAAAATTAAATATAAAATTCCACTTACTTTGCCTGAAGAGAAGTTGCACAATGATATCACAGATTTGTGGTCTCGTGAAGATGACTTCCGAAGCCAGTCAAGCGAGCAATTCAAGGCCTGCGAGTTCCTACAATTTTACTTTTTCATTTTTATCAACATGTACTGTATAAGTTTTTTTTCTGATTTTATGCACATGGATGTCATTTACAATTTGTACACAGCAGAAACAGCATAATATAGCAAATAAGTATGATACACGCGTCAGTAATGTGTCCACTAAAAATGTTTTACTTGTTTAATTTTCAGTTTATAAATACAATTTACAGTCACACATTATATATACACACAAAGCAACACAATCAGTACTCAAGTGTATGATAATCACTGAAGCACTCTCCAGTGCATGAAGCCACTTTGCATTCTACACACACCAGATACACACATTTTTGCTTCTTTACTCTTCACTGTGTGTGCTTGCAGACAATGCACTCACATATACTTTTTTCAAGCATTCCTGTACCTGGTATGTAACCAAGCTTTTGTAGTGTAAGGTAGTTTTTGCAAGCCAGTCTGTTGGGAGCAGCACGAGGCATTGTTGGCATGAAAACTCTCATCACAACACTACCTTTCTGGCCAAACTTGAGAAGTAATTGGAAAAACACAGCAAGATTGAACTTACAAATTGGTTTCTTGCCTGATTTCACCAAATACATGTTGAAACCGTTTTGCACAGTTATGTCTACAAGGTAAAAAAACAATTTCTTGATCCACTTCAGTTTTCTGAACACTTAACAATACCTATCATCGTGTCACATTTATTCACCAATCTCATTTATATTGTAGTTTATGACACAATTTGGTCGATACAATTTGCTGTGTTGCAAAGTTCTGTTTACCACTGTCTTCCATTTCATCAATGTGAATCATTGTCAATATATTCACCTTGCATCTGGCTTTCCAACACACTAATGAAATTTTGTTGCTTTTTCTAAGCCGACAATCACCTACCGAAATACCTGTACATTTCTCTCCCATGTGCCTTTACTGTGCCAGACTCTAATCTGATGTTCCAGCAGGAACATAGCAAGAGGCTGGTAAAATATTTGTTAATATACAAAATGTGTCCCATGTTCAGCAGTGGTTCCATGAACGGCTATCATGGAACATTACCAGAAAATCCGCGAGGATCATGACCGGATACGTCTACATTGCTACCGGAATGTAATATCATATCTATCACAATTCCAGTTTCACAATCATAGATCACAAAGAATTTCAGTCCAAGTGCAGACGATGAGTCACAATAATGTAGCTGAAGATATGATAATAGTCCAGGACAGACTGAAATGTCATCGTCTCTGTCTTCTGGTGTGTGGTTTGGTCATCAATGTCAGTCTAAACTTGTGGCATTTTGATGGGATATAGTACTTGATAGCAAGATGTCCCTTGAAGAGAACTGGAAATTCATCAATTGCTACATTCTAACATGGTACAAAAAAATCTTGAAACTTTGCACTCAACTCACTGAACACTTAACCCACTTTCTACAGTATTATTTGGAACCACATCTTTCATTATCATCAAAGTGTAGGCCTGTGTGATGTGTTTTTTTGTGTTTCATCATCATACACAGCACAAGAAAGAAACATATTTCATAATTCTAATGTCATTCCAATGTAGCAATATGACGCTGGCAATAATCTGTCAGTAATTTTACAGCATACTGGTTGGTTTCCTCAATAAGATGTTTCATGCTCATCAAAATAACCCATAAAATACTCACTTTAACTCATAATGTCACCAGTATACAGGAAAATGTCTAACACCAACATCTGTATCATAAAATGTAGATATTTTTGGTACAAAAGTCTCACAATCTTCCTATATGAGGTACTTCTGTGCTGCCTGTGATGGCAGCATGGCGATACTACAGCCAACACCACCACTGCTCCATCTTCTGATGAAGAGACTGATGGCCAAGGGATGAAGCTCTTTATGTTGTATAGGCAGACCATGAACAACTGAAGTGGAAGCCACACTTTCCTCATTGTCCCCACAATGTTCACATTTTCCTCATTGTTCCTCATTCTCAGCTGGACATATGCCACTGCTTTTCCGGGCAAGCTGCTGACACTGCAAATCTTCACCTAGGAACACTATGAGAGCAGTTACCACTTTGTTCATCTGTTACTAATTTCAGAACCAATGTCACTGAATTCAGAAGTCATCTTCCACATGTTTAAGGCATTCAGGAATGGCATATGGCACAGGTGGTTGTATGCATCACTGTGGGAGTGTTGTTGACCTGGGACGTGGCGGTGATCTGCATACTGGACACACACTATCATCCTCATCTATGTCCATATCACTCGTATTCAACTGTTGTGTTAGGTCATTATTTGGTCTTGGGTCTTCAATATTACTATCAAGGTCCTTTTGATATGTCATGTATTTCATTGTCCACGAGTGATTTTTCAATCACACAACCCATCAGTGACTGGGAGCTAGATGTACATTCGTCATTCATGGTTGCTCATTTTAAACTGACCCTACCAATGCCTGTGGGGTATGGTGGGAATTTTTTTTCAAGATGGCAGATGCTCACAGGAGGCCTAAGGCGTCCATTACACCAGGTTACCACACACGAGTTTTGAATTTTATGATATACCAAGAAATGGCTTTTCTTAGTTGATCTTAGTTGACAGCACCACCTGTCACCCGAGATATCTATGTGAAATGCAGGGGTTAAGGGAACGGGACCTTTACGTTCTCAACATTCTTCACACATACTCAATTTTTTTGTGCATAATCCACATGGTCAATGCTCCAACCTTTGTTAATGGATCACTGCTGAAAAATGAACAGGAACAAAAATATATATTTGTTTTAAAAAGTGAAAATTGCAAAAATTCAAATTGTTTTTACGGAATGAAAATTTCACAAATTTTTGTTTAATTCACTGTGGGCCCAGAATGGCATATAAAGTTATTTTTCTCCAGAGAAAATAATGTTTGAGATTATAGTTTACTGTAAAGAAAATAATCACTGTTGCAGTCAAAAGATACTCGGTTTTTTAGACGAAAAAAATTTATAACTCCCAAAGTTATGGGTTTATGATTAAACGACGTGGATTAAACCTTAGAACTAAGAACTATATAACGCTGGACTTGAAACTTTAGTCAAGTTTGTACTACAACTTGTATGAGGATATACATTAAGGAAAATGTTAAGGTGTCTTCATGACCTTTATTTAAAATTACAGGTCATATGTTGAAGACAAACTTGATTTAAAATAAACTTTTATTCTCTATTCAAAGAATAAAGTTTATTTTCAGTGGAATGCGAGATATAAAAGGTAAGATGAAGATGGTATAAAGATTAAGAGAATAGGTGGAATTTTTAAAATACAGTAGAGAAATACAAAGTACTGTATGGGAGAACTGAAGGATTCAGATAAAAGAAGTCTACACAAACTTCAAGTGACATCAAAAGGAGAGTGATTGTTTGCACAATATTAAAACAATTTACAACCAATTTTTTTTATATATTTTTCAGGAATTTACATTAAAGATATCAATGATTGCCACGTTGATGAACATTATCAGTCACATCTACTTCATGACATTCTAAAGGTTCCAATTTAATATGTTTGACATTAACAATGTCACCACTAATTTCTATCTCAACCTCCATTGCTTGGTCACACATTTCTAATGAATTTTCTTTTGCAACAGACATTATTATGGGTTGCTTTGCTTGACCCAGACTGGTTCTCATACTATTTTCCTCATTACGTTTTTTATTACATGTTGATGTATGATTATGTAATGAGCTTGCCTTTTCAGAGCATTCCAACTGTTTTCTTTTCTTCACAGGAACCTTCAGGTGATTTTTTCTAGGTCTCCCAGGATGCTTTTTTTGGATACTAGCAGAATTACTTACCCTATTATCACGATGTGGAAGCACTAGTTTTAAAGAATCTCCACTGAGTGATGCTGGTAGGAACTGCATATTTGTCCCACTCAAGACAGGAAGCATAAAATTCATCTGAGATTCTGAAGAATTTAATAAGGCAGACGGTACATGCACTCCTGGAGTTCTTTTATCTCTTCCTCGTGAGGAGCTCATTTTCTCTTGCCGAGATGAACTCCAACAATCAATCTGAGAAAGTTCTGTTTCCGTATTAGCAACTGTGTGTTGCTTGTTATATACATTTTCTGATGCATAATGAACATCAAAATTATCTCCATTTTCCCAACACTCAATTATTTTGTTAATAACAGATATACGCTCCCAAAAGACATTCGTGTCACAAAAGTGAATTAAGTCTGATAACTTTGATTTTATTTCATTTATAACTTTTTCCTTCCACTTTGGCTGTAAAGACTGTTCTTGTTCTACCTGTTGATGATCTTTTTCTTGCTGTGGCTGATCAGGCTTTGCATTGTCAAGGTCATCCAAGACTACTTCCTCTTCCATATCTTCAACTAAAACACTGTCACTTTCCTCAAAGTTCTCTTCTTTCGTCTCCTGTGCTGCAGTATCTGATTTAATTGACTGAACAGCACTCAATTTTGTTGCATGACTCACCTGTAAAGCCTTTAGTCTTGCTTTTATATTCTTTGCATCTTGAAGTGTGGTGGGTCGATGAAAATGTTCTTGCAAAAAGTGCTGTAATGCCCGACTGCTAGGTATCAACTCTATTACATCTGCCACCTCCCTCAGTTCTCTGTTAGTAATACGTCTGTTAATGGCATAATAAGGTGCCATATCATTGCTCACCTCATGATTGTGCTGCATAACTGCTTGAGATATAACAAGAGCCCCACGGCTGTAGGAGACGGACAATAAACACTCGCACCCACAAGGGAGATATCTGCAATATCAGAGACTTATGAGTAATGCATAGTCCACAGACACTGACAATAATTCTTATTAATTACAAATTATACAGATAGAAGACCAGTTGATGTTTTAGTGACCCAGTGGAGCAATACAGTGGGATCCTGAAAATTTGAAACAAGAAGAAATGATAACACTTCGGAAAGGATTGGCTACAATTATTTAAGTAAACACTGTTGTGTATAATGAATGTGCAGTAATTTATGAGAATATTTTGGTAGCAGTCTTTCTTGTAAACATATGTTGTTGTATATGACCGAAAGGGTAAGATTAATGATTCTAACACAAATCTTCTCAATATTTCTTACATTTTTCTTCACTGTCGACAGTGAAGAAAAACGTAAGAAATATTGAGAAGATTCATGTTAGAATCATTAATCTTACCCTTTCGGTCATATTCAACAACATAATTTATGAGAATGAACATGTTGGCTGACTGCTTGTGTGGGTGGCAGACTGGCTAGTTAATTGGCTCTGATGAGGACATGAGACGAAAATGTGTTTAGAATCATTCTTTTAATTTTTCAATATGGTTTTTCTGTATACTCTGATCAGTGTTTCCATGATCGTTGTTGCATATTTTATACTGTGTGTGTCATGTAGCTCTGTAACTCTGATGTCCTTATTGGTCGCCCAGATGGGATCACAGTAAACCCCCTGGAAGAATGGCAAGAAAGTAAATACAGTAATTATCAAAAGGAGGCACCAAACCGGGAAGGCTATGTAGCACCATAAAATATGCAGAATAATCAGAGGGCGCTAAATATGACCAAGGATGCCAATACGAGAACAGAAACGCATAAGGCGAATGATATCAAAAGTATCCGATTCACCAAGAATTCTATCGACGGACAAGTGACAGCAAGGGATGGTCGGAAAAAAACAAGAAAAGCACTCGCCCTGGAAGTCAGGACATTCAACAAGGATATGTACGACTATAAGAGGGACAATGCAATTTGGACAATAAGGAGCAGGGCGGCGCTCCATTAAGTGACTGAGTTAAATGCGTATGGCCAATACGCAACCGTGCTAGAGCTGTTTCCCACCACCGGTTACGGTGGTAAGAGGAAGGCCACGGGGACACACTACACTGAAGAGTAAGTAGTTTGTTACCAACAACAGAAGATCAACAACCCTGCCAACGGACAAGGATGGAGGAATGAATAACCGGGTAAAAGTCGGAATAAGGAATACTTTTACGGGAGATGGGACAAGAGCAGATAGCGTCTCTAGCGGCAGCATTCGCACGCTCATTTAAAGAAACACTTATATGGCTGGGAACCCAGCAAAACTCTACGGATTTAAATTTACTGGCGATAAGAAACAGCCAATGTTGAATCTCGACGACCACCAGATGGACTGCATTAAAGGACCCGAGAGCCATGAGGGCACTATGAGAGTCAACTACAACCACAAAAGAGGATTGACAATGAGAAAGGAGACGAAGATCATAGCGCATGAAGTTCTGCTGTGAAGATGCTAGTCTCTGGAGGTAGGCGACACATATAAGTGCGGTCAGGAAAAACAACAGAGTAGCCTTCACCGTCCGCAGATTTAGACCCATCGGTGAAGACGGAAACAGAGCGGGAGTGCGAAGAAAAGTGCTCAAGGAAAAGGTGTTTCAGAACTGTAGGAGGGGGTAAAAGCTTTCGTGATGTGGGTCAAGGATGTACAAAACTTTGGAAGGGGGACTCTACATGGGGCAAGGATGGAACAGTACGAGGAGAAACAAGAAATACAAACTGAAAGAGAATCCTGTAAGTGAGATAACCAAACAGAAAGAGGGAGGTGGTGAAGAGGAACAGGAACTACAGGACGGGTAAAAGTCTGAGCACGACAGGCGAGAGAAAGGATGTCGTAAGGACCGTGCAAGATACCGAAGACAGTAGTGATCACAGCGATCCTGGAGAGATAGGAAGCCCAGTGTCAACATACAAGCTGAGGACAGGAGTCAAACGAAAGGCACCAGAGCTGAGGCGCAACCCAGTATGGTGCAAAGCATCAAGACAGCGAAGAGCAGAAAGAGAAGGAGACAAGTAGGCAGGGCAACCAGGAATGGCAAGTAGTTGGTGTGGGACTACACGTGTGTATCAACCCTGGCTAACACCTATATTGATTTCAGTGTTGCACATCCAGATGGCGCTGCCACTTACAGGTAATCGGCCAAGTCCCATAAGTACTGAGAACTGGGATCACAACTACAATTTTGTCCCCATTGCTTCTGAGACACTTGGTACCTGAGGTAAGAGTGCCACCAGTTTTTTTAAGGAACTGGGTTCTAGGCTAATTGAAACAAGAGACTCTAGAGCTTCCAGCTTCCTTTTCCCAAGCCTCAGCGTGGCAATGAAGAGAGGAAATGCACACTGCATTCAGGGTTCCTACCCGCCATCTGAGGAGCTGGAGGAATTCGACAACCTATGATAATCATCTTTGTACCTTATATGTAATTTCTTGTTTGCAATGAAGTTTAAATAAAATAAACATTTACATATATAGTATGAGGGAGTGGTAGAATGGTAGAAGACAGTATGTGCAAGCGCACATGGGAGCCCTACAAGGCTGCATCAAGACATTGCAACTGCATTAGGATATATGTTCACAATTCTACCCACCTTTGTTTGACACGAATTCCTTGGCCAGCAATCTTAGGCTGTCCATAGTGTACACAGCAGTACCTCACTGACACAAACTTGAAGCGATCTGGAATGAAATGTTTCTTTCTCCGGGAATTTTCATAAGCCACACTGCTTGACGACTTGATACGGAACACTGAACCAGTTTCTCTTTTAAACTGGTTGAATGTATCTTCAAAATCTGCCAAAAATATAGTTAAGTAAATTTAGTTAACTAAATTTATACAAATGTTACTATAGTCTCTACTAATAACTAAATCAATATAAGGAACATGTTAATTATTATAATAAAGACAAAATAGAAATTATAATTACTATAAGGGAAAGGTTACAGTACAAATCTGACAATTAAAAACAATAAAGCTGATATTCACTCCTGCAATTCAAGTGATCTACCAATATGCAGGCAAAATAATAGCAACTTGGCTTGATAGACTTTCATTACACCAAAATTAAGCTTGTGGAAGTTTGAAGACTAATCCTCTCTACATATCTTAAAACTTATGAGACTGTATTAAGGTAATTAACCAACAGCACATACAGGAATGCAGTAGCAGGGAAGGGAGGAGGGGAATGTGAAGCAGATTACAAGCTTGTATATAAAGCTTATGACTTGCAACTTCAAACAAAAATGTCAGAACAAATTTTGACACTTCACAGTGATTGGCCTACCACTTGTTAAACAGACAAATTATTTTCCGATTTTGCCATATACTGTACAATATATATAACTAAAATGGTTTCTAAAACAGTAGGCATTCTCTGCAAAGTCTGATACTATTTTCCTTGCCTTGCCCTAGTTATTCTATTATTCACTCAATTGTCCATATCTCACCTATGGTATCTGTTGCTGGGGATCTACCACCTTTACAGAAATTTTTGAACATCTTAAATATCACGTAATGATATTTATGCACGTTATACAATGTTCCAATTGCTTTTCTAAATTACTCCCTAGTATTTCCAGTGTCATTAATGTAAATAAACTGCTGTACTGTTGCCAGGACTACCGACTCAAAAAAATAATAGTCTATGCCTGTCATCATTAGGTATTACTTTTTATTGTATTCATTTCTTATTTTTCTCAAGTTTCTCATTTTTGTTAGCTTACTTCTCTTTAAGTATTGTTTACCCCATCACACTTTTAAATAAATTTGTTCTAAATTATTTTAAATTTTGTATGAAACGCTTTGCATAATAAGTGCCTTCATTAGTATGTGTAACTCTGTTCCCACAATTGTACATTACTCTTATGTTCTTTGTACACACACATTCTTTTGAGTAAAAATTAGGATTAGAATTTAATGTTTTTCATATTCATGAATAACCATTTTGAATTGGAAATGCACAAGTAAATATTCAAATAAGTGTGCAAGTACTGTAGATTACCATTGAAGTGGAGTGACTTATCCAGGACCAACAGAACAACAACAGCTATTCTGACACAATGCTGACGAGGAGCGAGACATCCAGAGGACTTAAAAATTTGCTGAAACTTGCACTGATGCAACGTTCCTGTATCAGTGAGCATACTACTGCCCTGTAGGCTGTGTTACATGTTACACAAGCTACAGCATTAACAACTGTTAGGTGGAGGAAAAACTACACCTGTAAAAAATGTAAAAAAAAATCAAATCATCTCAAGATAACCTTCAAAACTGTTGAAACTTGTTTTGGTGAAGATCCTGACGAACTGATCAGTGAGGTCGACCACCAGAGGCTCCGACACCGTCGAGTCCACTATCTCCACCTCCTCCGTGTTGTGCAGCACCCACGGCGGATCCACCATGGGCGCGGTTTGGCCGGAGGAGTTCCCGGCCAGGCCCTGGTGGGCGTGAGGAAGCGTGTGGAGACGGCCATCGTCCGCCCCGGCCGCCGAGCACCCAGCGTTACCTTCACCGAGGGACACTTCCCTCCTACTCTCCCTCTCTCTGCTTTTCTTATTCAAATTTTTGCGGTTTTCCATTATCGCAGAATTAATTATGTATTATATGTCATCGATCAGAGGTAACGGTGCTCAACTGAGAGATAGGAAATAGATTTTTGGGTAATATCACCCGGAGTAAAGTTTCACCGTGGGCCAGGATGTAAACACAGCAAGAGTACCAACACTCCGGCACCTGCCACACCCAGTAATGCCAACCCTGCCTCCTACTTCCTCACATTATTGGTACACTTATTTGCCCTTTTTAGTGTCTTCATATGTACGTGTTTGCGGGAAAGTAGAATGGCATTTGTTGGGATCTGTGGAAGGAAGCATGAAGCCAGTGGCTTCCGGGTCTGAGGATTTTTTTTCCAGCTGTATACGTGAAACACATTGAATTCCATTATTTTATTTTATTTTGTCATAAAACACCATACCAATCCATTGGGCAGTGAGGGAAAGGTTACATTGACATTAATTAAAATATGGGTTCAGGATCTGTACTCAATTTTTTTAACTTAACCCACTTACATACTTAATACATACATACATACCTTCAGAAGTCATTCCTTCTGAAGATGTATTAATATACGAAAGTACGAAAGGTTGATTGTTACCTACAATGATTGTTAACTACTCTGACACCAAAAAAGTTCTTTTTAATGTCTCTGTGTATATATGTATTCATCTAGTTGTGCTTGTGGGGGTTGAGCTCTGCTCTTTCGATCGACCCGCCTCTCAACTGTCAATCAATCAACTGTAACTAACTACTAATTTTTTTCAGACACGCACACTCCAGGAAGCAGCCCGTAGCAGCTGTCTAACTCCCAGGTATCTATTTACTGCTAGGTAATAGAGGCATCAGGGTGAAGGAAATTCTGCCCATTTGTTTTTCCGGCGGTGCCTGTGGATCGAACCCAGGTCCCTATGACCACGAGTCTAGAGCGCTGTCCATTCAACCACCATCCACCACCATGTATGTATTCACCTAGTTGTGCTTGCGGGGGATGAGCTCTGCTCTTTCGACCCGCCTCTCAACTGTCAATCAATCAACTGTAACTAACTATACTAATTAATTTTTTCACACATATATGTGTGTGTAAATCACGAAAATTAACACGTGATGAAACATGTGACAGTGTCAGACCACGGAGGAAGAATTGAAACAGGAATTTCCTTAATTAAATCTTTGAATATGTTAGATATTAAGTCACTGCACATCCTCTCAAGTGTATTCTATATATTTAAAACTCTGAACTGTAATGCCAATCCTGACCTTAAAGGCTTCCTTCAAGGTTGTAACAGAACCCATGGGCACCACACCAGAAGGGAAGAGAACTATCAGGAGAAATCGTCAAGTCATTACGACTATATAGCACTTGGAAGGGGTCAGGATAAGGATTTGGGATGGGACGGGGGAAATGAATGGTGCCCAACCACTTGGACGGTCGGGGATTGAACATACGTAACCAAATAAGAAATGCTCTACAAATCAAGGGACCCAGAATGTGGAATGACCTTCCCAATCACGTCAAAGGCTGTACTTCCTTCAACCAGTTTAAGAGAAAAACTAAGTACTACCTAATAAACTTCATGTAACCTACCTTACCCCTAAATGTCAACCTAAGTCTTGCTATTTTCAAACAATATTAATTATTGATCTACTTGTATAACTGCTGATATCCGCCAGGTATAAACTTGAAGAAAATTGTAGTTTTCTGTTTATTTAGTTAAAATTACTTTTAACGAGATTACTTCGGGGTGTGTGGCAATCCAGAGAAAATGCTCACTGCATCCATGGTTTCTGCCCGCCATCTGAGGAGCTGGAGGAGCTATACAACTTGTGACAAGCAGCCTTGTACCCTGCATATAATCAATATTGTAACTTTTTTTGTGTAATGACATTTTCAAATAGTTAGAATATAACTTTACAAACTGCCGTTAGAGGAAAATAATGATACGCAGATTATTGTGGAACAGTTTTATAAATCTTTATACAAGATCATAACTTCTCTTTAATTAAAGACGACAACAAACCACAAGGGAGTGATATGCTGGTGAGAGGTCAACACACACACTAGTGCTGGTGAGAGGTCAACACACACAATAGTGCTGGTGAGAGGTCAACACACACACTAGTGCTGGTGAGAGGTCAACACACACACTAGTGCTAGTGAGAGGTCAACACACACACTAGTGCTAGTGAGAGGTCAACACACACACTAGTGCTAGTGAGAGGTCAACACACACACTAGTGCTAGTGAGAGGTCAACACACACACTAGTGCTGGTGAGAGGTCAACACACACACACTAGTGCTAGTGAGAGGTCAACACACACACTAGTGCTGGTGAGAGGTCAACACACACACACTAGTGCTAGTGAGAGGTCAACACACACACTAGTGCTAGTGAGAGGTCAACACACACTAGTGCTGGTGAGAGGTCAACACACACACTAGTGCTAGTGAGAGGTCAACACATACACTAGTGCTAGTGAGAGGTCAACACATACACTAGTGCTAGTGAGAGGTCAACACACACACTAGTGCTAGTGAGAGGTCAACACACACACTAGTGCTGGTGAGAGGTCAACACACACACTAGATCTAGTGAGAGGTCAACACACACACACTAGTGCTAGTGAGAGGTCAACACACACACTAGATCTAGTGAGAGGTCAACACACACACTAGATCTAGTGAGAGGTCAACACACACACTAGATCTAGTGAGAGGTCAACACACACACTAGTGCTAGTGAGAGGTCAACACACACACTAGTGCTAGTGAGAGGTCAACACACACACACTAGTGCTAGTGAGAGGTCAACACACACACACTAGTGCTGGTGAGAGGTCAACACACACACACTAGTGCTGGTGAGAGGTCAACACACACACACTAGTGCTAGTGAGAGGTCAACACACACACACTAGTGCTAGTGAGAGGTCAACACACACACACTAGTGCTAGTGAGAGGTCAACACACACACACTAGTGCTAGTGATAGGTCAACACACACACTAGTGCTAGTGAGAGGTCAACACACACACACTAGTGCTAGTGAGAGGTCAACACACACACTAGTGCTAGTGAGAGGTCAACACACACACTAGTGCTAGTAAGAGGTCAACACACACACACTAGTGCTAGTGAGAGGTCAACACACACACTAGTGCTAGTGAGAGGTCAACACACACACACTAGTGCTAGTGAGAGGTCAACACACACTAATGCTAGTGAGAGGTCAACACACACACACTAGTGCTAGTGAGAGGTCAACACACACACACTAGTGCTAGTGAGAGGTCAACACACACACACTAATGCTAGTGAGAGGTCGTGTACCATAGAACCAAGCGTTGACGTGTGCATCAGGCCAACCTTAACAGAGCTTCCTTATAAGTCTAAAGTGCATTTAACAACCCCGCAGCTTACCAGAGCCACATATACACCACTTTAGTATATATATGTGTACTTTCCACAGACACTCTGGACACCCACAGACTCTGGATATAGGTCCAGAGCCACATATACACCACAGCTTATCAGAGCCACATAAATCACAGCTTACCAGAGCCACATAAACCACAGCTTACCAGAGCCACATAAACCACAGCTTACCAGAGCCACATAAACCACAGCTTACCAGAGCCACATAAACCACAGCTTACCAGAGCCACATAAACCACAGCTTACCAGAGCCACATAAACCACAGCTTACCAGAGCCACATAAACCACAGCCACATAAATCACAGCTTACCAGAGCCACATAAACCACAGCTTACCAGAGCCACATAAACCACAGCTTACCAGACCTACATAAACCACAGTTTACCAGAGCCACGTAAACCACAGCTTACCAGAGCCACGTAAACCACAGCCACATAAACCACAGCTTACCAGAGCCACATAAACCACAGCTTACCAGAGCCACATAAACCACAGCTTACCAGAGCCACATAAACCACAGCTTACCAGAGCCACATAAACCACAGTTTACCAGAGCCACATAAACCACAGTTTACCAGAGCCACATAAACCACAGCTTACCAGAGCCACGTAAACCACAGTTTACCAGAGCCACATAAACCACAGCTTACCAGACCCACGTAAACCACAGCCACCTGCCTTCTTTTCACAGCTTACCAGAGCCTCTTATCCCCCCCCCCCACAGCTCTCTATCTCACACTTACCAAAGTCATCTACCCCTCCACAGCTTCCCGGTTATCTTGAGATGATTTGGGAGCTTTAGTGCTTCCACCCCCAGGAGAGAGCTTTCAGCTGACTAACACCCAGGTACCTATTTTACTGCTAGGTAACAGGGCATAGGGTGAAAGAAACTCTGCCCATTGTTTCTCGCCGGCGCCCGGGATCACAGAATCACAAGTCCAGTGTGCTGTCCGCTCGGCCGACCGGCTCCCCGGTGCCACCAACTCTCCCAAAGCTTACTAGAGCTAACTTGCCTAACAGGCAGAGTGACTATTTAAATTAACAATAGTATATTATATTAACAACATGAATTACTGACTTAGATAGATTAGGTTTGATTTAATTTCTATGTTTTAACTCACATTAAAAAAAACTAAATTAAAATCCCACATAATATGCTGGAAAGCTTTATCATTTCATAAGAATTTGTTTTAATAATATATAGTTTCAGTAAAAATCTGTGTTAGGCAACTTAACAACAGGAGAGCAAAACACCAGCAGCAGCATGTGGCAACACCTGGAGACTGCCACCGGCGGCGCCTCAACACTTTCCACCTCAAACATTAATGCTATTAACAAAAAAATACCTTTGGTTAAGTTGTCCTGTTATAAATACAAATATTCTTTATTGTACTGATATAGATATGACGTTATTGCACTTTTTTATACATTGAATACATACATACATACATATACATGTATATTATATGATATATATATATATATATATATATATATATATATATATATATATATATATATATATATATATATATATATACAAAAAATACATACATTCTAAGTTGGCTTCATACATACATATACAGTATTGACAAATGATATTCAAGGCCTACATCACTATAATACCTGGGATACTTAGCATTTACCCATCATTCAGGTAAATGTGCAACTATTAACTTCAACTGTAAAATAATCACATATTTAGTTAAACGTTTCAAGGGGCCAAGGACACTTTGTGTAAGTGGTTAACGGTCACACCAAACCTGATTTCTTTAATAAATCCCAAGTTGTCATGTCAAATGGTCATGTCTGAAGACCGCTTCCCAGTACTGAGGACACTGTGAAGGCAATTAAACTTATAAACAAAGATATGTGTTGTACATGATTCTTCACAAGGCGTTAAGAGTCCGCTGTGGTGTAGTCTGGCGGCGCACTTCAGGCCAGAGACCACACCTGGTGTAGTCTGGTGGCGCACTCCAGGCCAGAGACCACACCTGGTGTAGTCTGGCGGCGCACTTCAGGCCAGAGACCATACCTGGTGTAGTCTGGCGGCGCACTCCAGGCCAGAGACCACACCTGGTGTAGTCTGGCGGCGCACTCCAGGCCAGAGACCACACCTGGTGTAGTCTGGCGGCACACTCCAGGCCAGAGACCACACCTGGTGTAGTCTGGCGGCACACTCCAGGCCAGAGACCACACCATCTCTGGCCAGGTGTTGTTCTTCTTCTTGTTTTAGATTTAGCTACTCAGAACGAAATGTCCATGTAGCACGGGCTATAGGGCCAGGTGTAGTGTGGCGTGGGTACATATATACTCCGTGCTGCCCGGCCGCGAAGTGTTCCTTGTAAGTCATCAGAAGTAACGCGGTGATTCCTGTCATTCAGGTCTAGGTGTACACGCACGTCCTAAACGTTACGTAAGCGTTCCTTGTGTTCCTTTTGTGGCTTGTGGTTGTGTCTGGTGTGTGTGTGGCTGAGGCTCACAGGTCCGGCTACACTTACACCGCAGGATCCACTCCACTTGATGATGTACCACCTCATAGCTGTCGCTCTTGATGTGCTCGTACTCCAGGTCGTCCTCCACAAGTAAGTTGCTGTGTACCAACTGTAGGGTCGCGTCATGGTCGTCGGCCGCGCCGCCTCCGACTACGTTGTATTTATAGTAGTCACTGGCTGCACGACTATGGCCACGGTGGTGGTGGTTGAGGCCATGCAGGTGGTCGTGACCACGGCGGTGGTTGTGACCATGAAAGTGGTCGGTGACAGGGTGCTCCTCGATTGCTGGTTCATCTTCTTGTGCTCGTTGTGGATAGGTTAGAGCAGGTTCCAGGATAGGTTGTCCTTCATCCATCATGTCGTACACGTCAGGAACATGAGTGGTGGTGGTGGTGGTGGTGTGGGGGACGGGGCGTGTGCGCCGGAGTCTGGAGAGGATGTGGTAGCGGGGTCGCGGCGCTGACAGGTCGTTGTTGTAGTGGAGAGGACACAGAAATGCGACGGAGATGGTGGTGGAGGCGTGTACTGTGCAGCAGCGGTCTGTGCACGCGCCGCACTGCTTGGGTTTGTAGCGGTGCTCGCTGACGCACCAGCCTGCACGGAGTCGTACCGACTTCACTTGCCTCTGTGTCGCCTTGCACGTGTGTCCGCGCTGCCAACACACACATGACAACATTGTTAGTTCCTATAGTAGTCTAGACTCTAACATGCACTATATAATATAAATTGCAATATAGAGAAGAGATAATTATACAGGTATAGAGCATCCACATAATGGTTTCACTCCCAAAATTCATTAGAAAGATAACGAAAGGGGCACCAAAGTACTTAAACAAAACCTGTGAGGCAGGATTGAGCTCATAAAATGTTTACTATGCCTACTATATATGTTAGCGTTTTAACTTCAGGAAACAAACTGATGTTTTTATTAGGTCATCTACTGCTGGTTAAGTATTACTGAGGCTTGGCAGCGGTGGCTGGCGTAACTCACTCTAATATGATGTTTCCTGGAGAACTTGACGGCTGTGTCGGGCGGTGTTGACTGCTGGGGGTCGCGCCGGAGCCGCTCCTGACACGGCCGGACTTGACACAAACGTGTTTGGTTGAGAGGGCGGCAGTCAGGGTTGTCGGTGGTCCAGCGCACGGACATGCCGGCGCCGCACGTGCCCCTGGAGCACGCCGACCAGCTGCCAGACTCTCGTGCGCACGCCGGCGGACCCACAGCCTTACCTGGGGACATACAAATACAAATACAACAAATACAAATATTTATTCAGGTAAAGTACATACATACAAGGTAAGATACAAAAGTTGATGAATTTCTAGATAGAGCTAGTACATACAATGCCTAAAGCCACTATTACGCAAAGCGTTTCGGGAAGGAAAAACACTAAGACTAAAACTTAATACTAATTGAGATTAAAGTATAAATTGTGTGATAAAAAATAAGAAAAAAATGGAAAAAAGAAGGAGGGGGGGGGGAACATGGCAGAAAAAAGCAAAAATACAATTTGGTCAACAAAACAGCATTGTTTAAAATAGAATTTTTTACCTGGCTAGTAACCTCTGCTCTCAGCTGGCATCTATCTTACGCCATATATTATATATATATATATATATATATATATATATATATATATATATATATATATATATATATATATATATATGTGGAAAATCCACAGAGAAATATGAAAGGTGTTCTCTGTGGATTTTCCGCATAAAATGATCAGTGTTTTGTGATCGTCAATTGCATATATATATATATATATATATATATATATATATATATATATATATATATATATATATATATATATGTGTGTGTGTGTGTGTATATCACGAAAATAAACACGTGATTAAGAATGTGACAATGTCAGACCACGGAGGAAAAATGAAACAGGAAATTTCCTTAAGTACTTTCGTATATTAAATACATCTTCAGAAGGTCCATTCTGAAGATGTATTTAATATACGAAAGTACTTAAGGAAATTTCCTGTTTCATTTTTCCTCCGTGTATATATATATATATATATATATATATATATATATATATATATATATATATATATATATATAGGGGGGTACCACCACTGGTGTAATTATAGGGACCCACAGCCTCAGAGAAGGGAACACAGAGCACTCAGGGAAAAACTTGACATTTAACTCTGAATACGAAAGAGTGTTCACTTCTCCTACCACCCCCTTTTTTTTTTTATTATGATGTACACTTTATTATGCAAGGTTATACAGTTACATATCTGATTTTATACAAAAAATGAACATTAAGAGGACACAAGAAAAAGTTCGCTTCCTAGAGGCTGTAGATTTCCTCGAACTCCTCCGACGCCGGGCAGGAACCGAGGATGCAGCGGGCATTTCCCCTCTGGATCGCGACACTGAGGCGCTGAAAGAGAAAACTTGCTGCTCTAGGGTCTCTTGTGGTGTCAATGAGCTTGGAACCAAGATCCTTAAGAAACCTTCTTGCACTCTCACCCCATGGGCCTAGGGTCTCAGACCCTATTGGAACGAAATTGTACCTTTGATCTAATTGCCTGTACTTGACTGACTTTTGTTTTTCTCTGTGTGTCGCTGCGGCTCCTGCCGTGCCGGCAGAGAGGGTGATGTATGTCGTTGCCAGGGTGGATACGCAAGTATAGTCCCATGCTAACTGCCTGCCACCCTTCCACGGACGCAGTGTGATTCCGTCTGGTCGGCCGGCAAAGCTAACAGAGTCACGGTTCAGTAGGTTGCGGGGCTCTCTCTCCGCTGGACACTGAGCAGAGGCAAGGCTTCTTTTAATGATGTCGTTGACTTCGTCGTGTCTAGTGTGCCAACCACCCGATTTTCCACAGTGCAGGCCATGCAATCCATATTCGTCAGCATCTGCCTCGCCGCAAATACACCTGTGAACAGTGTGGATAGGGGCAGCAAGGCGGAGAGCGACTGCAATACGGAGCTCCTGCGGATCAAGACGTGTGCCTGTCGCAGACATAGGGACTGCCAGAAGGAAGTCCCCTGCATGGGGAGCCTGCACAGCTGGCTCCCATATATATATATATATATATATATATATATATATATATATATATATATATATATATATATATATATATATATATATATATATATATATATGTGTGTGTGTGTGTGTGTGTGTGTGTGTGTGTGTGTGTGTGTGTGTGTGTGTGTGTGTGTGCGTGCCTTAACACATGAATTATGAACAGTTATGCATGTTCATAATTCATGCATATGTAAAATATGCATGAATTATGCAGATTTTACAATGTAAAATATTTAAATATTATTTTTGTTAAAATATACTTTAATAATAATACAAATAATTATAACTGAACTATAAAGCACCAAGTGTGATAAATATGCACACATAGAGGATTTTATTATCAGTTATAAGTATCACTAACAGGAACTCTGTGATCTGATCTATCGACGAGGCTAATATGATGAACATGTTTACAGTTTACTAGTGTTTACAGAGAGGTCAAGTACACACACACACACACACTTCTCTTACAGTACTGTATATATATATATTTTTGTTGCTCTTATGATAATTTGACAGTCAAGATATATTCGTTAAACTGGTTTTGATATAAACTTAGGTTAAGAGTGTTTAACCAGTAGAAAACATGTGTTATACTGGTTGTTATGGGGAATATTTACGGTAACATACATAATAACTCAAGTGTTTGTGGTAACCTACATAATAACTTCAGTGTTACGATGTAACAGATATCTTCGAACATTATCTTCATGGTGCGTGATGGTGCTGACGACTCTGCAATTTCCTGTTATCGTTTAGTTAGCTCATTTAGAGTTTCGGAATGTGATGTTGTTCTCTGTGAGCATGCAGGGAGCTGGCAATGTCTTGGCTTGGGTAAGGGAGCTTCTCTGACAATAGTGCAGTGCGTCCCAACCAGGGTTGAATGTTTACACTTGACGAGCGCCAAGGATTCAGATTGAGACCCCAGCACGGGACGCCGTCTTAACACTCCGATTGCATCATTCTATAGGTGGGCAGCCCGTCCTCCAAAGATCCAAAAGTGATTCCATGCACCCGCCAACCCCCCTGTTTATGAATGAAAAGCGGTTTACACACGACTCACAACTGCTGACGTTCGAACATATCCGGAACAAGTGCTTCACTGACGAATTTTGTTCGAATCACAACGCTATAAATGCTTCACCCACGTACTACAAATACCAGCCCGTCCTCCAAACAAAGATCCAAAAGTGATTCCATGCACCCGCCAAACCCCCTGTTTATGAATGAAAAGCGGTTTACACACGACTCACAACTGCTGACGTTCGAACATATCCGGAACACTGACGAATTTTGTTCGAATCACAACGCTATAAATGCTTCACCCACGTACTACAAATATAAATAATCGCCAACAGAACCTAAACACCTAACCTAACCTATCCTATGCCTATATATACACAATATGCTAATATATTATAATATTAATTTATACTTGCGAAAATTCCCGTTTTGAATGAACAGCATGTTAAAATTTATGAATGCATCTGTGGGGTTGACCGCTGAATGTAATGGACTTGAGCCGAGGACGAGTTGAGGTGGGGGTACACACAGCTAGGAGGGTGCACAAACAGCTAAGTGGGGGCGCAATCAACCAGGTGGGTGCACAAACACGTTTCTTCTCCTAATAGGCTGCTGCAAAGTGAGGATTTAAGATATAAACAATAATACGGCAGAGTAATCCGAGAAGAACTACAAGAAGACCGAAGTAAATCCCAGACGGCGGAAGTTAATCAAAGAAAACGGAAGTAAATCCCAGTAAACCCAGTATATGTCGGGGTAACTCCGAGGGCTTCCTGATGGATGTGAGGGGCGCTGAGTTAGGCGGGTGTTGCTGTGTTGTGTTCTACTCTGCTCTTCCTACCCAGAGGTATCTGTAAATAATGAGTTTTTGCCCCAGTGCTCCGCCTTATCAGATATCAGTTATCTAATGCAATGACCTCCTTTCCTGCTGTTATTTATCTTCCCATATTCCCATCAAACTCATCCCAGTTGCTGGCCATTGTCTCCAAGTATTTCCTCACGTCTCTACCACTTATCAGGCTCCCCAGTGTCCTCATACATGCTCGCCTTTGTTCTTCCTTAAAAGGGTCCCGGTAGCACCCTTTAAACGAACGTTCGTTTGTACCCTGTACAACGAACCCTGTCGGGTTGGTGTGCAGTGTGCAGTGTGAGTGTGTGTGTGAGTGTGTGAGTGTGTGTGTGAGTGTGAGTGTGTGTGTGAGTGTGTGTGTGTGTGTGACTTATCAACATGGCAATAGTCTACTAGCGTGCTATAGGCTGAGGGTGAAGGATAGGAGGGAATACATCTCACTTAACCACGCCTAGGCCTAATTTAAAAAAATAATATTTTTTGATAATAATAATTTATACTTGATATAATAAATTTTATTATTATGCCGTATAATAAAAAGTAACAAATTCAAAATTGGAGAGAGTTGGTGATTGAGTGGCCGGGAGAGAAGCGTGGAGACAATGCAAGCAAGTGGTAGACTGGTACAGCGGTACAGTGGTACAGCGGTACAGTGGTACAGCGGTACAGCAACAGTAGCAGTGAGGAGAATGAGGTGACAAGGGTAAGTCAGAGAATAACAAAGACAGAAAATCAGCGAAGGATATTGTCGAGCCCCGCTCCTGTGCCAGGTAAGTGCACTACGGGCTCACCATAGCCCGTGCTACTTGCCCCGCTCCTGTGCCAGGTAAGTGCACTACGGGCTCACCATAGCCCGTGCTACTTGCCCCGCTCCTGTGCCAGGTAAGTGCACTACGGGCTCACCATAGCCCGTGCTACTTGCAACTGTTGCTCCCAGTAGCTGAATCTACAACAACATGAGGGAAGGACCACAACAAGGGAACTATGAGTCAAGAGAACGAAGGATCAGTGTAACGCGAGATCCATATCAATTAAAACAAGAGATTTTAAATCCAAGTGAGACACAAGAACCACCGCCAAGAAGCGTATCGATGACACAGTTAAGTAATTGAAAATGGCTAAGCCGAAATGCGGTGAGTGATTGATTGAAGAAGGGAAGCGGCGGTGGTGAAGCGCCTCCCCTCGTTGCCAGGGTGACGGACCAGCCCATTCTCTGCTGGTTTGCAACACCTGGATTGACACAGTTCCCATATCAACTGTCCTCACACTTAATGTATTTCAATTCGGATCAACAACAGCGTTCACACCTTACGGGCTATTCATGCCCGTGCCACCTCTTGGGTGGCTTAATCTTTATCAATCAATCAATCAGCGTCCACAATTTGATGCTCTAAAGGAATCTAAGCGGCATAATTTGCATGCATTCTCGGAGTAGTGGGCATCGTTCGTGTTAGGTTAGTCCGTCCAGGTTCGTACGTTCATTGTTGGTCAAAAGCCACTTCAAACTGGACGCTAGTCAACTTGTGAGGCCGGGCTGCTTGTATTGAGATGGGGCTTCTTGCTAGGGAAGCCCCAGTGACTGGGGAGTGCATCATTAACCATCCATCGCGCATTATTTATACCTATAGAACAAGACAACTACTGGTAAATTAGTCAACACCCTAGCCAGCACGCAAACATTTACACATACGTACATACGAGAAGCTGGGACACGCGAGCACACACATACATGTATATAAGGAAAGCTTGTACACATATACATGTACACACGCATATAAGCAAACCTGGAACACACACAAACGCGCGTGAAGCTCTCGGTATACAGTGAGTCTTCACGAACGTAAACAAGGAAATACTAGGTAGCCGTGGCATCACTTTCAAGTGTTGCGCTTTCTTCACACCTACCTGGCACCAGCCATAAGGGATACTGACTCCGGAAACTTACCTGGCCCCAGCAAGCGGGGGTACTGTCCTGGGACACTGACCTGGCCCCAGCAAGCGGGGGTACTGACCTGGGTCGGTGTCACACATCCACTCGCGGCAACACTGGCCTGGCACCGTCACCAGGTGTGGGTTGTGGCACTCTTCCCCCGGCGGGATGTTCTCGCTGGGGCACAGTGGCACACACGCGTACGTCCCGTTCTGTCCACAGACACAATGGTCAATACTCCTGCTACTGTGGACATCATGGTTAATACTGCTGCTAATGTGGACATCATGAGCATTACTGCTGCTACTGTGGACATGATAATCAATACGGCTGCTACTGTGGACATGATTAGTACTGCTGCTACTGTGGACATGATAATCAATACGGCTGCTACAGTGGACATGATTAGTACTGCTGCTACTGTGGACATGATAATCAATATTGCTGCTACTGTGGACATGATGATCAATACGGCTGCTACAGTGGACATGATTAGTACTGCTGCTACTGTGGACATGATAATCAATAGTGCTGCTCCTCTGGACATCATGGTTAATACTGCTGGTAAATATAAGACATAATGATAAAATATTTTGTTGTTGAGAACATAGTGATTAACATGTAAGGTGTTATGGTAACCGTTCTCTGTTCTGGTGCTCGTGGTGACATAAAGGTTAATGATGCTATAAGTGTAATGACCACCGCTGATGCTTATGCATACCAATTGGTCAATATTGGTGTTTAAGAGAGAATAATGAACAAAATATACACATATAGGAAGGTATTGGTCACAACAACAAGTGTTGTTGTGAACATAATATCCTGTCAAGTGACACAAGGACTCACCTGACAGGAACACTGGGTGCGACAGTCAAGTGCGAAGATCTGGCCATGGTCGTATGTTCGGTTGTTGACGGTACACTTGGCAGGCCGCACCTCTGTTTGAGAATGGAGGCGTTACCATATGCTACACAGGTGCCACAGTTGTACCATGCACCACACTCATCATTCATGAATTCTCAAATGACAAACAGTAATATCCTAAGTTCTTATCAATGATGTGTATGCCTGTCCAAGTTGAAGAGTCGTGGTGTCGAGTGATTGTCATCGCATGAGCGTTCTCAAGTGGCCAATATAACCTGCCAGACGATGACGGTTTTACCCAAGGTAAAAATTGCTAAGAGTGATTGATGAACCATGCAACAGTTGGCATTTCATCTCCTGTGTATGTACTGGTAAAGTGTAGTCATAAACACAGGCGTGAGCTTCAGGCATGAGGTGTAGTGATCACTAGAGAAAACATCACACAGCAAGGGGCCATGTACACTGCCCAATAGTATGCTGGTTACACTTGAAGTGGCTTTCAGGTTCTGCTTCATTAAGGACTACCTTGAGAGGCGGTTCTTGAAAGCAATCCTATACTAGCTGTAGAATGTCGCATGAGATACCACGTGCTTGAAGCTTCGCCAGCAGTCCGTGGTGTCACACACAGCCAAAGGCACTTGCAATGTTCTGTGCAGAATAACACAGCAACAGGACGACCTGCTGCTGTGTTATTGTGACCTGACCAGGTCACCTTCTATGTGACCTGCGTCACATAGAAGTAACAATTGACAGGGGTGACAGTGGTCTGTAATTGTTGCCACTGAACGGCTCTTCATATTGAGGATTCAAACTTCAACTGTCTCCCTCCACAGAGAGGACCATGTTGCTTGAGCTAAGCAGACTTGGTAGAGGCGACGTCAGCATGTCCCCATTACTGTGTAACAGTCGAGGGCTGACATTATTCAGCGCGATTCGTTCCACATGTCGAGTGATTTAAGGAGATGGTGTATTTCGTCTTCTTTAATAACAGGTCCTAACAACTTTCAAAGTGGTTAGATTAAGCTGAGGAGGAGGAGGTCGTTCTGAATCAGTAACCGCATGGTCTGCCAGCCGAGGAGTCTTTCCTGATTGTAACAGTCTCGTGTTCCCAGTTTATTGTCAGGAGGTTATCTTGAGATGATTTCGGGGCTTTAGTGTCCCCGCGGCCCGGTCCTCGACCAGGCCTCCACCCCCAGGAAGCAGCCCGTGACAGCTGACTAACACCCAGGTACCTATTTTACTGCTAGGTAACAGGGGCATAGGGTGAAAGAAACTCTGCCCATTGTTTCTCGCCGGCGCCTGGGATTGAACTCAGGACCACAGGATCACAAGTCCAGTGTGCTGTCCGCTCGGCCGACCGGCTCCGGCTCGACCCACATACCCAGGATTGTGTTATCAGATTACGTTCGCAACCGGTCTTTATCCAGAGACCACGAGACTTTGGACCCCAATGTACCTGATGCTAGTTGTCTTTGTGCTTCTGATTTCCATCAGCTGTTATGCGACTTTTGAACTTCTTTTATACGGTGTCAAGCTCGGTTTTGAAACATCCTGTTGAGGTTTTAAGGATGCACGTTGTGCCTTCCACGGGCCATGGTTTTAGCCTGGGTTGCCACCGATCTTTGATTGCCAAATCATGGCTGGTCCGAACGCTTGGTCACATACTGTTGGAGCAGAATATACTTGTGTGAGAGATTCGGTATACACTTGGGGAAGGCATGTGCTTGGTCTCTGACGTCACTCTGGAACAAGGGATTCCATTTAGATGTGACTAAACTGTGAGCGGAGGGCTGGCCAGTTCCCCCCTTGTCTCATACTGTCGTGGTAGTCAGTAGAGAGATCCTGGAGGCCTGATGAACCGACATATCCCCAGAGGCCGGTAATTAACTATTGCCTGCAGGAAGGTCAGTTATGATTAGATCAAGGGAAGACCCTGATAAATAATTAGGGAAAGTTACACAAATTTCCAGGTTGAAAACTGCTGAGACTTATTGATGTCTCAATGTTTCACACACCGAATTAAGTTTGACGACAACACCACACACCACAAGATGAAGAGACAACGACATTTTGGTCCTCGACCATTATTAAGTCGACTGACGGACCGAAACGTCGTCGTCCCTTCATCTTGTGGTGTTTGGTTTGGTCATCATATATTCACCCACGTTATTGTGACTCATCGCCTGAATTAGGTTTTCCACAGTTATAATATGCTAAAAGTTATGTTGTAATGATGAGAAGGCAAGACTATCTATCCTTTCCCTCTTTATATTTAATATCACCAAGCAAGTCTAACAAGTAAGAGAAGCTATGAAATTTTATAACGGGAATCTAACTCTCACATCTTCGAAAATCTTAGTGTGTGGGTTCACTAACGTGGCTACATGATCATCTATTATTATTGTGTAAATTATTTTCAGACCCCACACCTTAGTGCCTCAATGCACACCATGTGTCCTCATACCCAGCATGTGTCCCCAAACCTCCCTCCCTATCTGTGGGGGTGGGGGGGGGGGGGGGAGACACATGTGTAAGAGGAGTGAGCCTCACCCTGGCAGGTGCCGGTGGGGTCAGCGGTGGTGGCGTAGTGGCAGGTGAGTCCCGCGGCGACGTCACAGACGGTGGCACCGTCGCAAGGCTCGTCCAGCTGGCGCGCACACTGCCAGCAGCAGCCACACCCGTCCATCACCACCCGCACGCCTGGCGCGCACTCTGGCACGCCCTCACACCCGCACGGGTACACGCAGTGGGCGCGGATCTGCTGGTAGAGAGAGAGAGAGGAATTAGAGGCGCCCTTGACGGTGACCAGACAGCCCAAACACCGCTCAAATACCAACAGTTACCCACGAGGAGAAGATGGGAGACGGTCACATCAGTAGAATATTCCAAAGGAAGTCGGTTTGGTGACCGACATCAAGGTGGGAAGAAGAAAGAGATTATTAATTAAAATAAATTAAATTATTAAATTTAAAGTCAATTCTACGGAAACATCACGACTTTATTGAACTACGTCGCCCCCATGATCACAGGATGTATGGGTTCCGACACATGGGAGAGACAGGAAGGGTCTTGCCTTTATGACCAGTGTCGGGGTGTATCATCCACGATAAACTCCGTGGTTTTCTCACCTCACGATACGCACCTCAGTGGGTTCATATGGCGGGTTGTTCCTTTGTGCGAGGAAAGACAGTCTCCAGTTGGTGGTGGAATGTGATGCCATCTGTGGGACACCACCGTCTCTGTGTCTCTGTTGCTGTAAGTGGCAAGGTTTCCATAGATGAGCGTCAGAGGGACGAGCGGAGAACTGAGAACCATCGTGATGAGAGCTTGTGTGAGGGAAGGGAAGAGTCCTCATCTCTAGTGAGAGGCTCAATGAGATCTGGTCTCGGTGATACGTTGTGGGTTGACTGATCTACTGACTGAATCTACTGATAAGTAGATTACTGGTGTTTAAGGTGTTGATATTTGGTGCCGGGCGGTGGTTCACCACTGGTGAAGGCCGCCTGGGCATGACACTACAACCTCTTCTCTTTATAACACCTCGAATTTTGACCTACACTTTACCTAAGGCCAAAAACTGCTGAGCAAGAGAATGTTAGCTGATAGTGAAATTGACATAATTCCTAGTTTTTTTCCGTGGGTCCTCTGATTGGTTAGGTTAAGACACTGTGTCGTGGGTGCTCTGATTGGTTAGGTTAAGACACTGTGTCGTGGGTGCTCTGATTGGTTAGGTTAAGACACTGTGTCGTGGGTCCTGTGATTGGTTAGGTTAAGACACTGTGTCGTGGGTCCTGTGATTGGTTAGGTTAAGGCACTGTGGTACGACAGTGTCTTGTCCACACTATAGTCATGCAACACCACCACGGCTGGAGGGTTCTCCTGTGGTGTATGGTGGAGGACGTAAGGGCAAGAGTCGAGCTCTCATATTGGGTGCAGAAGACACACAGTTAGTATTCATAGCCAACGGATAGAACCTGCAAATGTATTTTGATATTTGTTGAGAGGGGAGTGATGGTGAATGGTGATGATGATGGTGATGATGATGATGATAGGGGTGGTTGTAGCGGTGGTGCTGGATGTGGTGTTGGTTGTGGTGGTGGTGTGGGGTGTTAGTAGTGATGGTATGGAGCGATGGTGGTGGTGGTGATGTTGGTGTAGTGGTGGGTGGTGATACTGGTGGTGGTGGTGGCGTGCATGAGAGCGTGTTAGAGTGTGGAGACAAAATGCTTGTCGTGTGATACTATTGGTTTCTCAACACAACAACTTTTCATCGATTCCTCATTAAAAACGCTGATATGAAATATTAGAAAAGTAGTCGTTACTTTGTCTGTCATGATCTGACACACCACACCTGCCTGCCATGATCTGACATACCACACCTGCCTGCCATGATCTGACACACCACACCTGCCTGCCATGATCTGACACACCACTCCTGCCTGCCATGATCTGACACACCACACCTGCCTGCCATGATCTGAGACACTACACCTGCCTGCCCTAATCTGAGACACCACACAGGGCGCGACGTACCGTAATGATCAGGGGAAGGTGCTAAGTCAGTGTGTGTGTGGGGGGGGGGGGGGGAAGGACTATGAGCTGGGGTGTGAGGATCGAGTAAGGAAACGCTGCTCAACCACTTGGACCATGGAGGATCGAACCACGACCCTGCAAGAAGCGATTTCGTCGTTGAATATAGAGAACACAGCCGGTGTCAGTGATTGCCTCTCGTGCAGCTCCCGTGCACACTCCACACGAAGCAGCACACGTACAGCGTGGGGCAGCTCCCATGTACACACACACGCACACACGTGAAAGAGGCATCATCGCCCTTACAGTTACAGCGCCATGTATGTTTACTCGACTCAATCAGGACGTTGCACAATGCATAACTAATACACCTGTCGACGTCTGTATCAATACATCGTTCAGGAAATGCTGGATTAATATTTATTTTTAATTAGGAGTCTGCAGCCAATTGGCAAACATATCAGAAATCCAGCCGTTGTACAACTTTTTGTTTTGATTAAGACCATAAAAGTTGTGTGTTGTGATGCGTCTCACTATGATAGCCAAGATGACTGGTCGCCACAACACCTCTCTCTGGCTGTCTTATTCTGCCACAACATATACCCATAAACCTTTACTAATACTTTCCTGAAGCAGCGACCTGCCCCACGCATCTGTGTGAGGAGCCTGGGGGGAGGGAGGAGTGTGAGGAACTAGTGTGATGGAAGATATTGAGGGGAAATGTGTGTTTGTATGTGTGTGTGTGTGTGTGTGTGTGTGTGTGTGTGTGTGTGTGTGTGTGTGTGTGTGTGTGTGTGTGTGTGTGTGTGTGTGTGTGTGTGTATGTGTGTGTGTATGTGTGTGTGTATGTGTGTGTGTATGTGTGTGTGTATGTGTGTGTGTATGTGTGTGTGTATGTGTGTGTGTATGTGTGTGTGTATGTGTGTGTGTATGTGTGTGTGTGTGTAATTACCTAAGTGTAGTTACAGGATGAGAGCTACGCTCGTGGTGTCCCGTCTTCCCAGCACTCTTTGTCATATAACGCTTTGAAACTACTGACGGTCTTGGCCTCCACCACCTTCTCACTTAACTTGTTCCAACCGTCTACCACTCTATTTGCGAAGGTGAATTTTCTTATATTTCTTCGGCATCTGTGTTTAGCTAGTTTAAATCTATGGCCTCTTGTTCTTGAAGTTCCAGGTCTCAGGAAGTCTTCCCTGTCGATTTTATCAATTCCTGTTACTATTTTGTACGTAGTGATCATATCACCTCTTTTTCTTCTGTCTTCTAGTTTTGGCATATTTAATGCTTCTAACCTCTCCTCGTAGCTCTTGCCCTTCAGTTCTGGGAGCCACTTAGTAGCATGTCTTTGCACCTTTTCCAGTTTGTTGATGTGCTTCTTAAGATATGGGCACCACACAACAGCTGCATATTCTAGCTTTGGCCTAACAAAAGTCATGAACAATTTCTTTAGTATATCGCCATCCATGTATTTAAATGCAATTCTGAAGTTAGAAAGCATTGCATAGGCTCCTTGCACAATATTCTTAATGTGGTCCTCAGGTGATAGTTTTCTATCTAGAACCACTCCTAGATCTCTTTCTTTATCAGAATTCTTTAAAGATTTCTCACATAATATATAGGTTGTGTGGGGTCTATGTTCTCCTATTCCACATTCCATAACATGACATTTATTAACATTAAATTTAATTTGCCAAGTGGTGCTCCATATACTTATTTTGTCCAGGTCTTCTTGAAGGGCATGACAATCATCTAAATTTCTTATCCTTCCTATTATCTTAGCATCATCAGCAAACATGTTCATATAATTCTGTATACCAACTGGTAGATCATTTATGTACACAATAAACATCACTGGTGCAAGAACTGAACCCTGTGGTACTCCACTTGTGACATTTCTCCATTTCGATACATTGCCTCTGATTACTGCCCTCATTTTTCTATCAGTCAGAAAATTTTTCATCCATGATAGAAGCTTACCTGTCACCCCTCCAATATTTTCCAGTTTCCAGAACAACCTCTTATGTGGAACTCTGTCGAAAGCCTTTTTTAGGTCCAGATAGATGCAGTCAACCCAGCCATCTCTTTCCTGTAATATCTCTGTGGCCCGATCATAGAAACTGAGTAAATTCGATACACAGGATCTTCCTGATCGAAAACCATACTGTCTGTCTGATATTATATAATTTCTCTCCAGGTGTTCTACCCATTTTAGTTTAGTGTGTGTGTGTGTGTGTGTGTGTGTGTGTGTGTGTGTGTGTGTGAGAGAGAGAGAGAGAGAGAGAGAGAGAGAGAGAGAGAGAGAGAGAGAGAGAGAGAGTGAGAGGGGGGGGGGATGGCGCTGATGTAAGAGGAATTAACAGGACGAGACGTTAGTGGGGTGAAAATTCATCACAGTAGAAAAAAAGTGAGGTGTTAATTATGAGGCAAGAATAGTGATTGATGGTGACGCGGGTGACGACCGTCTGTGGTGTGTGTATGTGTGGTAGTGACACATGTGTGGAGTAGTGAAATGTGTGTCACTACCACACACACACTACCTGCTCCCAGTGAAGGGAGTCGGGGGTGGGGGGGAGAGGGAGACACTCCTGGAAGCATTTAACGTTATTGTAAATCTTGTCTTGTTTTGGGTTGTCATTTAAAAACATTCCCATAATGGTTGTGGCACCATCCTCCTCCTCCTCACAACCAGGCTATAGTTACGCACCACCGTCGACCAGGCCTGATCCAGCAGCCAGGGGAGATGCCACCGTCGACCAGGCCTGATCCAGCAGCCAGGGGAGATGCCACCGTCGACCAGGCCTGATCCAGCAGCCAGGGGAGATGCCACCGTCGACCAGGCCTGATCCAGCAGCCAGGGGAGATGCCACCGTCGACCAGGCCTGATCCAGCAGCCAGGGGAGATGCCACCGTCGACCAGGCCTGATACAGCAGCAGACCACGGCCAGGTGGTGACATGGAGCGCGACACTCGGTGAAGGGAGGCAGCAATGTGTGGGAGGGAGAGGGAGAGGCAGCAATGAGGGAGAGGGAGAGGGAGAGGCAGCAATGTGTGGGAGGGAGAGGGAGAGGCAACCGTTAAGAGGCAGCTGTGGTGTGCGTGGCGTCCCGAACGTGCACACAATACCTGCCCCTTTTTCCCGCCAGAATGGTCGTGTCTGCTAAAGCTAAGATAATTTGAATATTAAAGCAAGAAAAGGTAACACCGAAAATTTAGTTATAAGAAAAT